ACTTAGCTCACTGCTTGCAACACATTAGTGACACTAAATAAAGAATGGTAGCTGTTATATAGTCTCCTATATTTTATCTCTGGGCTATGTAAGGAAAATCACAAATTGAAGCTAAAATTACTCCCTTTTTAGGTGAAAATTTAGCTATTGACTGACGACTGACTATGATATGCAAATTCAGTCATTTTTTCCAGTAATGTGGCTGGATGTTAGCTCATCTAGTCATGCTCTCCAAACTGATGTTGCCTGTGAAAATATGGATGGCCCTGTAGGTCAGGAATATACTCTGTCCACAGACTGGGGTATAATTAATAATGAACAACTGGCTGAGTTAATATTCACCCAGAATACCTTTCCAAAAAACGTCTGACATGTAAACAGTAAAGCTGCTACCCATAGTCAGTCCTGGCATCATCAGCTTGTTATATTGCAAAATTTGAGGGCCATCCCCACCTACTGAATTGGAACCTGCACTTTAACAAGATTCAAAAGGTGATTCAAGTGCACCTTAATTGTGAAGATGCACTGGTAAAGAACAGGCCCTTCTAAGGGACGGTACAATCACCAGGTGTATATGTAACTCAGGTGGGAACTTTCTGTTGCACCTATTAAAGGTGAGTAAGGCAGGCCCATGAAGAGTCTTTAACTTCTAATGATTGACATATACACATATACATAAATACACACATGCATAGATCAGTGGTTCTCAACTGGGGGCAATTCCCACCAAGATGTTGGGCAATGTCTGGAGACATTTTTGGTTGTTTATAATTGGAGAGAGGAGGGTTACTACTGGAATCTAGTGAGTAGAGACCAAGGATGCTGTTAAACATCTTACAATGCACAGGAGAGCCCCCACAAAAAAGAATCATTTGGCCCAAAATGTCAATAGTGCTAAAGTTGGAGAAATCTTAGCATGAATTATATAAACATCCCTACATAACAGCATATTAACGGGAACTATTTATGGGAAAAGGAGTAATAATTTGACTACACAGCTCTGAGGGGATGAATTTCTTATCTGGACATTCTGCATCTCAATGTCTATACTGCTTTCAAGGTTATGCATACCCTGCTTAAAAGCTCTCAAAGTCATAATCCGCTTTTGCTAGCAAACCCAGAGTCAGTGATAACCTGTATTAGCATATAAAGTCAGCCAGCATCAATGCCTAAAACCTGTTAATATGCAAAGAAAAATAATAGAGGCAGAAAATTAAGTTACCGTTTGGTTTAAAAACCAATCCTACTGAAGAAGGAAGTGGACATAGGACCCTCAACTCCACACCCACCTTGCCCAAAAGACACTGTAGTCCGTTCCTTCATTGTACAAGTCCACAATCCCTTGTCTGCAATTTTGAAAATCTGAAAACTTAAACTTTTATCTGAACTCGTTTGGTAGCAAAACCTGAATAGATGTGAGACTATTTATTATCTTAATTATCCCACTTAATGTGACTATTTACATAGCTCACTGCAGAAATATTCAGATATTTGCTTAGGAGGTAGTGCCACAGGCTTTCCTGGTGCTGTTATATAATATATGGTGGATGCTTCTTCCTGCCATTCTAAAATTTGAAAACTTTAGAATTTTGAAAACATTGGCTTTAAAAGTTTTAGATAATGATTGTGGACCTCAAATGACTAATATACTGTCAACATGGCGCAAATATTTGCCGAAAGCATTCATATACATATATTTGAAAGAAAAAAGTACACCTAGTCAAATATGTGTGTATATATACACACAGACACTTAGATATGCGCACGCATATACATATATACATCCCTGCATTAGTAATTAGTAGTGTGACCATTAGCTTCCTTGTGTAGGGCACTTGACACAATAGGCCAGGCTTGCAGCTTCAAATTCTATAAAGAACAGTTAACTCTGCAAAGAAACACCTTTCCTCAAGACTATAAACTAACCTCAAACTTCAACCTTCTAATGCTCCTGGATACGCAGCAAGAAACAATGAATGATTTAGGGTAAGCCTATTCACCATTTCAGAAGTGGTAATTCCAATTCAGTAGCATAACCAGATAACCAGCCTCTGTCTCTGTCTCTGTCTGTCTCTCTCTCTCTCTCTCTCTCTCTCTCTCTCTCTCTCTTTCTCACTCTCTCACTCTCTCACTCTCTCCTCTCTCTCTGTCCTCTCTCTCTCTCTGTCTCTGTCTCTCTCTCTCTCACCACAATGTGTAATAGCATTACAAGTACCCAACTGGCTCTGAAAGAGTTAAGCACGGCTTGCCTGCCCTAACCTCAGGACTTGATGGTTGAGGATATAACTCTCTCTGCATATAAACTGTTTCCCTCCCTGACAGGCTTTACCTTACTAGCTTGTTGACTGTCATCTTGTGTGCTCATGGGACTGGCCCAGGGAAATATAGGCAGGTTGTTAGGAAACAAGTCGTAAGAAAATACATATTCAAATTATCATTTTTCTGTGCCTACCTTGTAAGATAGGACTTGGGAACAGACGGGGATGCCAGCCAATTTCCAGAAACCATAAAAAGATACATGAGCTTGTACCATACTGAAAAAGATGCATCGTGCTTACTACTGAAAACACAACACAATGGAAACAATTTAAACTTATTTGAACTTCTTCGAAATCCTTTCTGCCCATTATGGTACTGCCAAGATTCACTAATGACCATTCAATTTTAATGGTCTTTTCATTACACTGCAAAACAATGTTCCCTCCTTTATATCCTAAGAAAACAAATCTCCTCATGAAAATGAAATAACATATGGTATTATTTAATAAGTTGAAAAGAAATCCTGAAAAGTTTTTGTGAAACTGCTCTCTAATAAAACTCTAAGAACTGTGATGTAGAGAAGGGAAAATATTTCACTGCGGTTACGTTCGACGCATTGTTAAATATGATTCTAATGCTAAGGTGAGAGAAAGAAGTACTTTGCCAAAGTCCCTGTAACTATTTCCTCACCAAAGCAGTCTGTCTACTCATGGACTCTGCCACTAGGTTGTGAGACCCCACGACCATTCAGGAAGGAGCCGCCATGTTTTTCTTCCCAGACTCCCAGCTGTCTCATGTAGGGAGTGGGACAGGGCTGAGATCCATGGGCAAGCCTCTGGCCAAGACAGTGGATGAGATCATCATCAACCCCACCCCACCCCAGCATCCAGCCCAGCTTCTTCAGGATTTCACAGGCCCCAGCCTTCGTGCCAGCCTCCTGTCAGGTTCTCAAAACAGGAAAAACTAAAAGCGGATCCTCCTCCCCACAAAAAACGCTGGGAATTCTTACATTATACAATTATCTTAAACATGTTCGTCTTGTATAGTATAATTACAGGAGAGCAGATTAGGATCTTAAAATAACTTGTTATTTCCAAGAAGAATGCCCCAAATTAGTTTCCTTTTAAAATGTCCTCTCAAATCCTTAAACAGCTTTCAAAAAGAAAGTTCTATGGCAAGGATTAAAGACATACATTGGATAATTAACTCATTCCTAACAGAAAAGCAATATTAAAATATTATGAATTCTTCATGCTTGACCAGAAAACAAATATTTATAACTTGTCATCCGTGACAAGTACTTTAATTCAAATTTTCAGGGATTCCATTCTATTTTAGCTTCTGTATAACAATACTGCAAAGCTGTAATTATATCCTCTATAATCAGCCCATTCCCAGTGTAATTAAGAGTGCCACAGATTTAAAACTCTGACCTCACTATGGAGGAAAAAAGTGTGTGTGGAAGAGATAGTTTATAGTGCATGTAAAATGCCCTCATGTTATGCTGACAAATTTAAAATGTAAAACAAAAAAATAACGTGACAATAGAGTCATCTTTAAGAGGGAATTGTTACGTTCCTAATAGTAGTTTTCCTCCATCGTTTCTAGCATCTGACTTTCATCAATAAGCTCTTTTCTATCAAACTGTGTTCTTCCCATATGTTATAAAAACTCTAAACCCCTTCAGATGCCTCTCAATTCTCTCTCCTTCAAATACCATCCACTGTGGGGATAAAGATATACGTGAAGTGATTCCTGGGACAATGTCATGCTAGTATAATCTAAGTTTTAATCAGCAGAGAGGTCCATCAGTGAAGTGTATAACTTCTAAGCCATGTAAATAAATGTAAATAAAATTTTATCTTAACTAAGACTCAGGAAGTTGAGTACCAGGCATTAATGTACACATGTTGTAATGGTTCAAGCAAACCATTTGATAGATATAATAATAACCATATTAATAAAAAAGAACAACAGCAACTAACACTTATCAGATGCTTACTATGTGCCAGCACTGTGATAATCTTAGACGAATTATCTCATTTAATTTTTACAAAGCCCCCTGAGATAATACAATCATTGCCTCCATTTTTCATATGAGGAAACTGAAGCTCAGAGATGTTCACTAACTGTCCAGATGATTTAACTGTAGCTGGTAAGAGCGGGGCAAGTCTTAAAGCCAGGTGCAACTGAATCTCAAACTTGTGCCTGTTTTTACAGACTTAAGATTAGACCGCCTACTGATGATGTTACACAAGCATTTCAGCCTAAAGCAGCGGTTCTCAGCCTTCCTAATGCTGCGACCCCTTAATACAGTTCCTCATATTGTGGTGACCCCCAACCATAAAATTATTTTCGTTGCTATTCTATAACTGTAATTTTGCCACTGTTATGAATCGTAATGTAAATATCTTTTTGTTTTCCGATGGTCTTAGGCAACCCCTGTGAAAGGGTCATTCTACCCCCAAAGAGGTCGCGACCCACAGGTTGAGAACCGCTGGCCTAAGGGCTCCTGGTGCACTGCAACTGTTACTATTCAATTATTCAATGGGGGGGGTGGGGAAGGAAGAAAAGCAGGATAACAGTTTATCAAGATTCTCCTCTCTGTCACATTAAGGAATTCCTTTCTGTATTCTGTAAGAGCTGGTACAATCTTTCTAATTTAGATAAATGTTTAATCACAGCTCATAAGTTGCTAAAGCACCAGTCACAAAATAGAATGCACTCTTGTATTTTTTCAGACTAAAGAAGCTGATTGACCAAGAAACCGAATCCCAGGAGAAGAAGGAGCAAGAAAAGGAGAAGAGGGTCGCTGCCCTGAAAGAGGAGCTGACCAAACTGAAGTCTTTTGCTTTGATGGTGGTGGACGAACAACAAAGGCTGACTGCACAGCTTGCCCTTCAAAGACAAAAAATCCGAGACCTAACCACAATTGCGAAGGAAACACATACTAAACTAGCCCTGGCTGAAGCCAGGGCTCAGGAAGAAGAGCAGAAGGCAACCAGACTGGAGAAAGAACTGCAGACGCAGACCACACAGTTTCACCAGAACCAAGAAACAATTATGGCGAAGCTCACCAATGAGGACAGCCAAAATCGCCAGCTTCGACAAAAGCTGGCAGCACTCAGCAGGCAAATTGATGAGTTAGAAGAGACAAACAGGTCTTTAAGAAAAGCAGAAGAGGAGCTCCAAGATATAAAAGAAAAAATCAACAAGGGAGAATATGGAAACTCCGGAGTCATGGCAGAGGTGGAGGAGCTCAGGAAACGTGTGCTGGAAATGGCAGGGAAGGATGAAGAGCTCATAAAGATGGAGGAGCAGTGCAGAGACCTCAATAAGAGGCTCGAAAAGGAGACATCACAGAGCAAAGACTTTAAACTTGAGGTTGAAAAACTCAATAAAAGGATTATGGCTCTGGAAAAATTAGAAGATGCTTTCAACAAAAGCAAACAAGAATGTTACTCTCTGAAATGCAATTTAGAAAAAGAAAGGGTGACCACAAAACAGTTGTCTCAAGAACTAGAGAGTTTGAAAGTAAGGATCAAAGAGCTAGAAGCCACTGAAAGTCGGCTGGAAAAGACAGAATTCACCCTAAAAGAGGATTTAACTAAACTGAAAACATTAACTGTGATGCTGGTAGATGAACGGAAAACAATGAGTGAAAAATTAAAGCAAACTGAAGATAAGTTACAAGCTGCTGCTTCTCAGCTTCAAGTGGAACAAAATAAAGTGACAACGGTTACTGAGAAGTTAATTGAGGAAACTAAAAGGGCACTGAAGTCCAAAACCGATGTGGAAGAAAAAATGTACAGTGTAACCAAGGAGAGAGATGATCTAAAAAACAAACTGAAAGCAGAAGAAGAGAAAGGAAGTGATCTCTTGTCCAAAGTTAATATGTTGAAAAATAGGCTTCAATCACTGGAAGCAATTGAGAAAGATTTACTAAAAAACAAATTAAATCAAGATTCTAGTAAGTCCACAACAGCATTACACCAAGAAAACAATAAGATTAAAGAGCTCTCTCAAGAAGTGGAAAGACTGAAACTGAAGTTAAAGGATATGAAAGCCATTGAGGACGACCTCATGAAAACAGAAGATGAGTACGAGACTCTGGAACGAAGGTATGCTAACGAACGAGACAAAGCTCAGTTTTTATCTGAAGAGCTGGAACGTGTTAAGATGGAACTTGCCAAGTACAAGTTAGCAGAAAAGACGGAGTCCAGCCATGAACAATGGCTTTTCAAAAGGCTTCAAGAAGAAGAAGCTAAATCAGGGCACCTCTCGAGGGAAGTGGATGCGCTGAAAGAGAAAATTCACGAATACATGGCAACTGAGGACCTGATATGCCACCTCCAGGGAGACCACTCAGTTCTGCAAAAGAAACTCAATCAACAAGAAAACAGGAACAGAGACTTAGGAAGAGAGATTGAAAACCTCACTAAAGAATTAGAGAGGTACCGGCATTTCAGTAAGAGCCTCCGGCCTAGTCTCAACGGAAGAAGAATCTCTGACCCTCAAGTATTTTCCAAAGAAGTTCAAACAGAAGCAGTCGACAATGAACCACCTGATTACAAGAGTCTTATTCCTCTGGAACGAGCAGTCATCAACGGTCAGTTTTATGAGGAGACCGAGGACCAGGACGAGGACCCAAATGAGGAGGAATCCATGCTGTCCTTCAAATGCAACTCATCTACTTCCTGTCCTGTTAACAGGAAGCTCTGGATTCCTTGGATGAAATCCAAGGAAGGCCATCCTCAAAATGGAAAAATACAAACGAAACCCAATGGCAACTTCGTGCAGCCTGGAGATCTCGTCCTAAGCCACACACCTGGGCAGCCACTTCATATAAAGGTGACGCCAGACCATGTCCAAAACACAGCCACTCTTGAAATCACCAGTCCAACCACAGAGAGCCCTCACTCTTACACCAGCACCGCAGTGATCCCAAACTGTGGCACCCCAAAGCAAAGGATAACCATCCTGCAAAACGCCTCCATAACACCGGTGAAATCCAAAACCTCTGCTGAAGGCCTCATGAATTTAGAACAAGGCATGTCCCCCATCACCATGGCTGCCTTTGCCAGAGCACAGACCCCAGAGTCTTGTGGTTCTATAACTCCAGAAAGGACAATGTCACCTATTCAGGTTTTGGCTGTGACTGGTTCAGCTAGCTCTCCTGAGCAGGGACGCTCCCCAGAGCCAATAGAAATCAGTGCCAAGCATGCGATTTTCAGAGTCTCCCCAGACCGACAGTCATCATGGCAGTTTCAACGTTCAAACAGTAATAGTTCAAGTGTGATAACTACTGAGGATAATAAAATCCACATTCACTTAGGAAGTCCTTACATGCAAGCCGTAGCCAGCCCCATGAGACCTGCCAGCCCTTCAACACCACCACAGGATAACCGAACTCAAGGCTTAATTAATGGGGCACTAAACAAACCGACCAATAAAGTCACCAGCAGTATTACTATCACACCAACAGCCACACCTCTTCCTCGACAATCACAAATTACAGTAAGTAATATATATAACTGACCTTCATCCAGTCTATACTGATATTATTGCAAGAAACTCAGTCCTTTTTTAATTATCCTTCTACATTCCCCAAAGACTGACTGAACTTGTACTTTGGGAAGGTTTGTGCATGAACTATTCAAGAGTATCTGAAACTAACTGTTGCCTGCATAGTCATATCAAGTGTGCACTTACTGTATATCTTTTCATTTACATACCTGTATGGAAAATATTTAGTCTGCACTTGTATAAATACATCTGTATGTATTTCATTTTCCATAACTCACATTAATTTGACTGCAACTGGTCTTGGTGAAATACTTTAACATTATAAAGCAGTAAATAATTTGTTGTTTTTACCATTGCTTGAATTTTCTTTTGGTCATTTTGTGTTATTTTTGCATGTACAGTAGAATTTTATTTCCTGTTCATAATGTCTATTAATTCTTCCTTTAAAAAAAACCCAGAACCTACTCCCACTTACAGTCAACTTCTGATCACATATTAGAGAAGGAAAAACTGGTTTAAATAAATAAAAACATGTCTCTTTGATTTCTAATGAACTATAAGATCTCTCATGAGCAAACTTAACTTCATGCTTGAGATGTATCTCATTTTCTCTGGTGCCCAGCACAGTACTTCGCACATGTTAGGAACTTAACACATTGTGGACAGTGACGCAGATTTGCATCTATATATTTAAATGCCCCATCCTCAGTGTGTTCATGTTTCCTGATAATAACAGTAAAATAATATTAAATAATTTGCTTTGTGAGCACATGAGCCAATGGTGAAAGTCAAAAGCTTTGAAATATGATAGGAAGCCAGAAAAAGCACATTTGGAAATAAAAGTTACCTTGGCAATCAAGAGTTGACTGTATTTTCTACCATAGATGAAAACTCCCATAAAACATATATATCTGCATCTGAACCTGGAATCAGCCACTATGACATATGGCCTTGAACACTCTGTTTCAAAGCAGAAATGTCATTTTGGTTCCTTTTTCCTATTTGGTTTCCAAAATAGTTCGGATTACTTAAGGTAGGTGCTTCCTACCTTGCTTGCAAGTGGTCTGTCTTGAGAAGCTTACAACTTAATCGCATCTTTGTTTGTTTAACCTCTCAATAAGCAAACAAAAGTCAAAGATAGTTACACATACAAGTTGTAGAAAAGACATTTTAAAAAGATGTTAAGGGAAGTTTCTTCTGTGATTATTGTTATGCCATTTACAAGGTAGGTGAGAAAATCGCAACCAAGGCATCCTAAAAATTCCACCCACCTCATAGGAGCATAATCAATACTTCTGTAGCAAAGAACAGCAGCTTGCAGAGGAACATTTTAAATTACAAATCTGGTCCCCAAGTCACTTTCCAAAAAAGACAATTTCAGACACAGCAGTTCATTACCATTTTCTTTTGCAACCTCATAACTGTTAATTTAGTGTGGTCAATTTTACTGCCAGTTACTGATTTTAAACACAATTCATGTAGACACCCAGACAGACTGTGGAGATCTTTAGAAGTAAAGAAATCTTTCACAATTGTCCTTCTTTCCCCTGCAAAATCAATTTCATGATAGCAAAGGGAGCTTTGTTGACAGAAACACTTCCATGGTGATGAACTACAACACCGATGCTGTGGGCTTGCATCATCATTAAATAAATGTGGATGAAAGCTGAGGCTGGTGATGAATGAGAAAGCTTCTGTTTAAACACATTTATCTTGGGAATCGGCAGTGACCCAACTGTATTACAAAATACATGATAGTCTAAATGTTTTTTAAAACGACTTTTATTTTTAAGTCACCTTGGGCAAGAACTTTAGAAGGAACTGCAAACTTTATTTTATGTAATTCAAAATAGACATTGATAATGCTGCTGCATGAGAGGTTTTTCTAGATAATAATCAAGAGAAGGGTACATGTAACATTTTGGAAGATACTGATCAACTGATCATAAAATTATGAACAGAAACTAGAAAGAATTAAAGGACAGAGACTTTTCAGTGCTTCCCAAACTTTGTCACATAATGGTACAAACAGAAAACATGTTTCCATGGTACTGGGAGACATGGATGAAGAGGCAGAGATGACCAGCAAGGGACCCTTGTCAACCCCAGGTTCCTCCGGGCTGCCCCACGTGCTGAGGGGAAGGTTCATTCTTGACACACCTGTAATTAATAGAGTTTGAGATGCTCTGGACTATTCATTAGTTCATCTGTTTTGTAAGCATTCAATTTTTTTAATTTTTTTAATTTATGTGAGCCGGAGCAATTCTGTATAATAAAGTTAACACCATAGGTCCTGAGCTCCATGATTATAATGCACAAATTTTCATTTTATCATCTGTTTCAGCTATTAACCATAAATAGGCTTCCCAAGTGATTAACATTATTGGGAATTTACCGAACTTTCAAGGAACCAAACCTCTTCTAGAGATTCCTCTACTGGATGATTACTTTGGTATAATAATTCCTATCACCATCAAAACTTAGGAGCACTGTCAAATTAATAACATACATTATTAAAAGTGCTACTAATTAAAGTTTATAGTAAAGACAGCATCATTTCTAAGAAAAAGCATCTTTTCTATAAAATCATACCTAAAATGACATTCTAGATTTTTGGGGTTTAATTTCAAAAATAATTTTTTATATCTGTGTGTATGTGTCTGAGAGGTTATTACAGAACTTTCTTTTTTCATTCACATATGATCACAGAAGAACCTTGAAAATGAGGAAGGAGAGAGGAAGTGGCACTGGAAAATCTTCATATGAAATATGTGAGGGTAGAGGGTTGTATTCTTGGAGAAAACAATGCCCAAGAGAGGCTCGCAGAAGATAGGAAGTTTTTATATACATCTGAAAAAATAAGATCTTCCTTTCATTGGTCAGATTCCCAGCTTCAGAACCAAGTTTAATTTTACTCTTTCCCTTACCTCTTTAACTCTTTGAGCTGCGGCATCCTATCACAGATTTGAATTTTACCACATCCTTCTTTCCATTTAAGAGCAAGACAAACTTTCCCCTTGAGGATATACTGCTCTCCGGGGGCACTGACAAAAATAAAATCATCAACCTTACCAGAAGGATAATATGCATTACTATAGATTTTTATGTATAAAGGAGAGTCTCTATACTTGTTCAAGATGATAACAGGATTCCATAAACTCTACTCAGAAGGTCTCTGCAACTACAGTTCATAATGCAAAAACATTATGTGTGGGGTCTTCATGACACCCAAAAGATACAATTAGGTTGCGCTGTGAGATGGTCATAAAAAGGACATTAACAATGTTTAGACTTGTAGCCGAAGGATTCTATGATCTTATTAACTGAAGTATAACTCCATGCAAAAACATGTGTTTAGTAGCTTTGATTCTGAATCTTCACAAAGCCAGTCTCCTTTGAAACTTAGACGAAGACCTTTAAATTAACAACATTCTAGTGCCCCATACCTTCCTTTCTATTATTAAGTTACTTTCCTTCAAAATAATAATTTTGCTTTGCAATCCTAAGAGAAAAGATAATCAGGCAAAAATGCATGCCCAAAACATTAAGATGAGTGCTTTTCAAAGTAAAATCCAAAACACTTGTAGGAGAATCCCATGATCCCCTCCAGAGCTATCAAATCAGAATCTCTGAGGGTAGGAACCAGGAAGCTGTATTTTTAACAAGCTCCACCCTAAAGTAGGAACTCCATTGTTTCACAAATCCCTCTATTGATAAACATTAGTAAATGGGTTCTGACTCGAGTCACACTTTATCAGAATAAATTATAACTGTCCCAGGAAGTGTGACTATTCCGCCCTCTAGTGGCTGGCATGACAAACAGAAGGCTTGTTGCCCAGGTTTTCTTTTTATTCAAAAGAAAAGCTCAATAAAAACTACCATTTTATTGGGTGGGAAGGTTCCCAGTTTTATAACTAGTGAAGCATAGATGCCTGAATCTTGAGCTGAGCGGTAGCAGGCTGTCTGACACCTCCAAGCTCTGTTTCTTCCTCAGGTCCCAGGCCTTCAATGTAAGTCTACAGCATTTCTTGGGACTAGTCCAGAACACACATTAAAGAGAGCAGTTTGGATGAACCAAAACAAAGGGCTTCATTCACCTCAGGCCACAGTGAAGCAAATGCAAGGAAAAGCAAAGAAGATAAGTGGTTCATTAAAGTCTCCAAACCTTAAGCCGCCTTAAAATTCATTTTCATTTAGTTTAAACTCCAAGTCCTTTCCTTTCCAATGGATGGACCCTTCCGCCCTTCAAGCTCAGACAAGAGGAGTAAAGTAAAGCTTCTGTGCAGTCAAATATATAAGAGCAGCATCCCCCAAAGGCAATGCTGCAGGATAAGGAATCCTTAGGGAGTCCCGCAAGTTAACCGGCCAACACTTCTAAGTACTTTATAATTTGATAATGAATTAACACTGTTCACATGGCAGCACATACAAATCTGTCAACATTCCATCAGGACACCAGGTTTTACACTTAGAATGATGCCATAAAAATGTGCTCTGGCATTTCCGTCAGCTATCCTAGGGATAATCCTCTTGACTTGTGACCTCATTTTAAAATTGCACTTATTTTTTTCAGTTATTGGTCAAGAGAAATATTTATCGGATTATTTGAGACAATTTTTTGAAAGCCTGAAATTAGTTTTATTTTAGTGGGTTCCTTTTCCCCAATAATCAAATGGTCTTGCATGATTTTTTTAAGTTTACCTAAGATAGACTTTTTTTTTTTCTTTTGCCTCAGAGTTTTATTTTTGAAAGGCTAGTCATCTTTGGATAACTAACAATGTATACAGACCTTACAGACCTACAAAGGCTGCCTCATTCTCTGCCATTCCTTAGGCCTCTGGAAAGGCGGAATGGGTTTACCAATTGACATGCCACTCAAGTGTCCCAGTGACATGCAGTGTCTCAGTCCACAGTATCTTCTCTTCAAAGCCTTACATGGACACAATTGATCAATCCACTGATCGTGACATACTGAATTGCCTACCTTCTAC